GTCTCTCGGCTTTTCCCTTGCATTGCCTAGAGCTTTGCTACGGGTTCTTTGCGTTTGCGGTTGCTGATACTATCAAATGGACACTATATATCTCTCGGCTCTTCCCTGGAATTGAAATTTCTCAATTCTTATTCTACTATTTTTTGTTAGTATAAAAATAAATAAAAATTTTCCCTTCTACCAAATGTTTTAAGTGTTTGGTGTCTAAAACTTTGTGGATCAATCCTACGATGCACTTCCACAACAACTTTAATATATATATAGGTTTCACGAACTAGCAAATTTTGACGATGTGACGGAAATTATATTATTCTGAGTTATAGTTTAGATAAATTTTCTTGCCTTGGCCAGCACGCTATCACGTGCACCGTTTTGTGTGATATACTATAACGCATTATGCATATTAATACATGCTTCTAATGTGTATACTTTTAGATTGATTTGTCCAAAATTGACCGATAAAATCTAAAATGGACTCGGCCAGCACGCTATCTCACGTACATCTCTATAGATGCATTATGGTTCAGAGTACGGGCTTGAGCCATCCTCCAGTGCTGGCCGAGGTCTAAGGAAAATGGGACTATTAAGGCGATCCACAGGAAGGAGAATGGGTATGTATTTGGAGGGAACAAATATCCTTCTTTTGAAGAGAAGGAAAAAGAAACTACTTATGACTTTCCCTGGCTTTGTTAATAGTCCAGTAGAAGGATATAGGGTTGGCAAACTATTCGTCTCCAACAAGGAAATTGTTAAAGGGAGCAATGGAACTGTTGTTCTTGAGGGATCCTATGAAGGTCGCCTTGTTGCGTTTAAGCGTCTAGTACAAACACATCATGATGTGGCTCAGAAGAAGATTTTGAATCTCATGGCCTCGGACAAACATCCAAATATTGTCCGCTAATACCCGGTGGACCAGGACGAACATTTTATCTATATTTCATTGGAACGGTGTGCTTGTAGCTTAAACGATCTCATCTATGCATCCTCTGAACTGCTTGAGAATCCAATGGCTTCAAGTAGTATACATTCGATTCAGATACTCCCAATCCTTGAGAATGGAAAGGGAAACGGACATCTTTATCTTGATCGAGAGTCTTCCAGAAGCTGTTCATCTTCTCTCTGGTCTCCTGCACCCGGATCCAAATTTGAGGTAAAGCAATAGAGATGACGCTTTTGGTTGATATTCTCGTGATTGTCACTTGAAAAGTTTATTTATCTAAACTAGCATTTGTTCACACACAAGTTTACATCGATACCTTTGGGTTTATCCGTGAGTATCAAGGTTTAGTTTTAGTAATTCCTTGTATAGCTAGATTTGAAGATTTTATTTTCATGGTGCTAATTCTGATATTTCGTTTCTCTTTCCCTTTTATGCCAAAGAAATATCGGGAATCTTTCTATAAGCTTGTTGATTAGGGAACACTCATGAAGAAAACGAAAAGGATGTTTGAAAATGCAGACCGACTGCACAAGAAGTTCTGCATCATCCATTGTTCTGTAACTCTGACATGAGACTGTCTTTCCTTCGGGATGAAAGTGATGGGATCGAATTGGAAAACCGCGAAGAAGGGTCACAGCCGCAGTGGTTACTTTAAACGGCCGGTGGGATGAGAAGTTGGATAGCATATTCTTAGACAATAGCGGGCGTTACAGGCGGTACAAGTCTGACAGCATCTGCGATTTGTTACGTGTCATAAGAAACAAATTGAATCACTACTGAGAGTTTCCTAAAGAATTGCAAGACTACTTGGGACTGTACCTGAAGGGTTTGATAGGTACTTCTCGTGCAGGTGCCCAAAACTGTTGATTCAGGTCTATACAGTTTTATTTAACAATGAAGAGTTCTTTTTCAAGTACTCTAAGACCACTGTGTCTGTATTCTAGGATTCTCTTCTGCAACAAAGAAGAACTCTTCTGTGACTCTCTGTATAATGAATTTACAATAAAGTTATAATTAATCTGATCAAATAAACATTTGCTGCTGATATATGTCATTGTAATTCATATAATTTTGCAGTAATTATATATTATGTTTAAGCCATTTTTCATTTATTTATTAAATAACATATTCGACAAAATATTCCTACATTTTCTTTTAAATTACACAATAATTTGTTAAGTTATAGTGTTTTTAAGAATAATAAAATTATACAAATATAGACAGAAGAAAATATAGAAGGTTGTTTTCTGTCAATGGTATCATGGTACCGGTTTGAATC